CAGTGCGGTCAAAATCTTTTATTTTAGATCTAGCACAGCTAATGAACAACTGAATTATCTCAACCTCACGCATTACATACAAAATTAAGTGTGGAATACGAAGGGCATTATAGTTTCCGCGCATCAAAAATAGAAATTGAGAAGTGCGACTTTTTTTTAAGAAATCGCGCGTCAAAAGTTTGGAAACTTCAATTCAAAGCGGAAACCACATGAAAACTCTTAGACTTCTTGAGCGGAAGCCCACACTTTGTGCACAAACTCATATTGTTTGGTAGATTTGTTCGCCTTCTCTAGCAGCAATGGAGAGCTAGAGGCAAGGCAAGAGATAAAGGTAACGATTGATCAGCCGCTTTTTCCAGGTTGAGGGTTCCTATTGGACGGAATGCTGGCAGAAGTTACAGTATTCATCAAGGTAGAACTAGAAAAAGGTGGCGTGAGGAGTACGGTCTTCAGAAGGCTTACCTGCGCACACGAAGCGATCCATGCCAAAGCTCAGCCAGAAGCCGTTGGCAACTGAACAACCCACTTATTACAGGACACGTTGCTCTTCTCGGGCATTAATAGCACAAGGCCTCACCATGGTATGAGCAGAAAAGGTTTATGATTGCCATGACCGCCAACGAAAGACAGTTTTGATAACCCCAATGGGGCAGCTGGGCGGTTAACAACTTCAGGGTTTGACTGTTGTCCTCGCGATAGCAGAAATCCAATAGCTCTAAGGATTCCGAGCAAGATGACCTAAATTTCGTAATTAAATGTTTAGTGTATTGGCAAATCTTAAATATCAAGAGAAAGACTTACTCGCAATATTCCTCGAAGCTTCTGAGCAACTTCTACCTCCAGATAGTCCTCCTCTGCAATACGAGCAATGGCTTTATATAACCTGAACACGCAAGTTTATTATAGCAGAGGTATCACGGTGGCTCAGACGCTCGCCGCGCTAGGGGAATCAGAATTTTCAGTGGCTCATCGAGCCGTCTCCTCGGGGTCAGTTTGTTGTGATGGTCTCATCTCGGAGTGTGCCTCTTATTGTTAGAATACCCGCTACAGTCTCGAGGAAAAGGCTCTCTATTTGAAGGCTTTCGGTGTTTCTTTTCTTTACTATCGGTCCATTTCACACCCCAGCATTCATTTCCGAATGGAATAACCATACCAGCTTGATCATCGGGCATACCCTAAAACAAGGCCTGCTTAATCCTGAAGGATGAGAGATGAGAGCGAGATGATATTGAAGGCAGGTGAGTGGGATAAATTAGTTCCCAGCTGGGAATGAAAGTAGACAGACAGCAGTGAGTGAAAAAAAAACAAGAAAATGGTTTGAAAACCGCGAAAGGGAACCTTCATTTGCCCGCTGATTTCCATACAGGGCTAGTCTCATTGATGCTAATGGGATCTCGGCGAACTTTCCGCCTGCTCTACCTTATTGCTTGCAGGGGAGGTAAAGAACAAGAAGCTCAAGGGAGTGGAGAGAGGGGAACCCTTTCTACTCGCCTCTTTCGACTCGAATGCGCCACCCATCGGTCCTTTACATTCACAGCCTCTGTTTATAGTAAGCGCATTCCCCCTTTTTTAACAACCAGCCTATGTGCCACTTGCCTTGGGCTTCGAGATTATAGTAGCTACTTTTCGTACGTAATCGCACTCTATTTTGAGTGCGCGAATTAAACCATCGCTAGTGCCGCGACCACCGTTGGCCTAGTTTTGACCCGCCGTAGTGCAGCACCCAGGACTTCCTGTTCACAACATTGTCAACATGCATAGCCATCGCTCCAACGATCTCGTGTGAAACGACTATTTTCCGGTATGCCTTTTTGAATCGTTGTTTAGAAAACCGGAAATTCAAGATATAAAAGGGTTACCTGGCAGCGACAAGGCTTTTTGCCATTGCATCCTCTCCATGAAGCCACATACATTTGGCCATTTCAGGTCGCCTTGTGAGCACAGCCCATAGAATGAGATCATTGAACGGATAAGCAAAATCAGGAGGGGCATCTGAATTACCAACATGTTTTGAAGGCAGAGATTACGATGAAAAGGCAAAACGCAGGTTACTGGAAATCAAGGTAGGGTGGTCAGTGGTACAGGGAGGAAAAAACCATGAGAAACGGCCCAGAACCCGAGAAATGGGACCCTTCCTTGCCCGTTGATTTCCGCATTGATGCTACTCTCTTCAACGTTAACGTTCTCTCTGCTAAACGGATAGAGTTAGAAGGCGTTGGGTTACGCTTCGGTGTAAGTGCAGTGGTGCGAGCGGCGCAGGTGCGGCTCTGCTAGGCCGATGGGGCATGCTCCTCGGTGCGAACGCCATCGCTACTCCTTATACGGGTACTCTCATAAAGTACGTATATCCCCTTCTCAGACGATCACTTATCTGCCTCATATTAAAGTGTAAGTCAACCGTGACGGTATTACGCTCACAGTCAATCGCATTGTAGCAGATTCAACGATAGCATTTTTTGTCGTTTGGTGATGTCTTGCGACAAATCGGATATGAAGACTGCTCACCGGAAGCTGAAACCCACTGTGTTTTCTTTTGCCTCTTCTTCACAAGAGAAACACCAATTGAGAGACGTACCTGTGCTTTCTTCCGGAACTTTTCGTAGTTATTCTTGAAAACTCTCGAGGTGTAGTAGTGTTTATAAGCGTTCCCCATCAGTTTCTCTATAATCATTCCTATGTCCGGTAAAGTGAGGTAGGTAGTCGGTGAGGTATGTTCGACCAGAAATCGTACACTGTGCTCATCATCGTCATCCTGTGGGGCAAGTTTCGAATTAAATCTATTCGAAAGCTTCAACAATAGCCAAGAATAAATCGAGAGAATCGCGAGAATAATGCACTTCAAAGGTCTGTGTTGTCAAATGATTTCAAGCGACGTTTCACCAGTTCGGCACAGGCACAGTTGTTTAGTGTTGATCATCAGCAATGTTCTATGCCTACCTTATTCCATTCGGTAGAAATTTAGACTATAAAGCCAGGGTTGAAAAAACATCAGCACTAAATGAGAAAAACATGGAATTATGAGGCATAAATGACTCGGCAAGGTTGCGGGAAATGCTGAGGCAATTATATGGAGGAGAGAACTCATGGGGATGTTTCTTGTGGACAACTGAGTTCTTTTCTGTTCTACATTTAAAGGACGAATTCACGATGAAAAAGCAACCCATTTCAAATTAACCTAGGGATGGTGAGTGGTACACGAAAGAAGGAAGAACCATGAGAAACGGCCCAGAACCCGAGAAATGGTACCCCTTCCTTGCCCGTTGATTCGAGCATTGATGCGACTCTCATCGCTGTGCCCTCTTCAACACTACGCTCTCTCAGCTATCTAATCACTCGCCACGTATTGAACTACGGCGAGTGATCAGATGATCGGTGGGCGGAGATCGCCGGACCCGCCAGCTTTGAGGCATGATAGGTCGCCGAGGTCAAATTTTTCCATGCGAATTGCGCGTCAGTTCGCACCCTCAGGAGGTCCGTGGGTCCCTCAACTAGGTCAGTTTCCCTTTCTTCGACCTTCATTCTAATCGTGAATTCCTCCTTTAAAATGAAATGCAAATGGGGCGCGAGAGATAGTGCCAGGTCAAAGATATGCAACGAAGTTATATAAAGTGTAGCGGACCATCGCGAGCTGTCAGGCTGAAGAATCTGACCCAGCCATATAGCTCGTCATGACGAAGAAGAGAAGCTTGAATCGGAAATTGCGCCACAATCTAATGTAAGGTAAGTGTGATAAAAGGCAGAGGTCAGTAAAACCAATTGAGAACAAACTCTGCAGTTATTTCCTTAGCGAATTGGTATATCGTATACTCTGACACTTACAAGATTGTAGAGCTGCTCCAGAGTCGCTATAGTGAGGAAGCTCTTCATTGACACTCCATTCTCCAACAGGCACTCAACAAAATCGACCTAGACATTCAATAACATTAAAACATAAACGCTGCGGCATATTTCTTATGTTATATATCTATAAGCATACTATGTATGACATCTGCAATTCTACAACGATTCTGGACCGCCCCTTTACGCCTTTCCATCAATGGCGATGTTACCCCACTGAGGAGGGGAGGAGCTTGCGCTCGTCTCTCAGCCAGAGGAACTGCTTTAACACTTTGACGACAGCGCGGGACACATACGTCCCGCACTTTCACACGGAAGAGACTTGTTTTTCCTAAATTGTGCCTCCATTTTCATGCTTCAAGACTGGCCCTTCCTACTGTTGGATACGAAAAATAGTTCTCTCGTTACCACTAATGAAATTATTGGTAATGTAGTAACTGTTAATGCAAATTTGTAAAGTAAGGTGGGTAGGTTCGCGCACAAGGGCGTGTCGTCAACGTGTTAAAAGGCTCTCGTTTATCGAGGCCCACCAGCGGAATTTCTTACCGAACGGTCCAACTATTCATACAATTATATGACCATATTTTTCACACCAAGTTCTGAGAATATTTGCTGACCCGATTTAAACGAAGTGCATCATTCATAGCCGAATGGAGGGCGTGAATTGGCCAATGGCGTCCTCCAGAGAATAAGCAAGATCGAGCGACGTCGACTCGGTTCCACGATAACGTCAGCGATAACTGAAAATATTGGTGACGAAGTAGAATTAGAAATAGTGCGGGTAGAGAAAAATTCGAAATATAGGTACCCAATGTACCGAAGTTTCACCTTAAAAGTGCGGATGGAATGAGTAAAACAGTGGCGCACGCATGCGGAGATGAGGTCACGATGTGGTTCATACCTTTCGCGTACGCACGACGATGATTTTCTTTCATTTGAAGAATTCCAACAGAAGTTAAATTTGTCTATCAACACACTTGAAAAAATTCAACAAAGTTTCAACAAAGGTTTCATGTGGCTGTCCAGCGACCGCGCGCAGCAGATATGTGGTGGTCTCACCACAGTTCACAACTGATTGCACGCAGTGGAAACAGCTTCTGGGTAAGGTATTTCAACAGACGTGGCAGAGAAAAAAATCAATAATAGCT